GCATGGCAGCGCTCGATGAAACGTGACGATTTGGAGCAGTGCCGGCACCACGAAGCCCAGGCGGCACGCTTCGTCGACGTGCAAGTCCAGCAGCGCTTCCTGAGCGTAAGAGATTGTCTGCCGCTATGCGGTTGGGAGTAATGTTCACGTATTGCGCTTGTCTCGTGATATATGTGTCAGTACCGTCCGTGTCCCGTCTTAGCCCAGCTGCTGTCATTGTTCGGTGCGCATTGTGCTGGCGTGGTCGTGGCTGGATGACATCGTGTCAGTCTTGCATTTCATCAGCCGTCTTTTGACTGACAGTCCGAGTACGTCACCGCTCTGGCGGAGTGCCCGCCGGTCGGCGAGTTCCCGCCACTGCCGGCCGAGGCCCGCCAAGCGCGTGACGATCTGATGACAGTGCTCATGGTCCTCTGCGCCGGCCGGCCCAGCCACGTCACTGGCATCGCCGCCTCTTCGGTGCCCGAGGCCAGGGTGAGCAGGCTGGCTGACTGACTTGACTGACTCAGCCTGATTGAAGGGTGACGTTCAGAGGTCAGGACTTGTTGACGGACGCTGGCCCTTTTGTGTTGAATGTTTTGATTATTGTAAGTTAAAAATCGGCTGTTAATTTGCTGGGTAATATGGTCTTCCCTGTCGTTTGGCCCCGCGCTTGACCTTGAAGGATGACCTTGAGAGGTAGGAATTTTTGACTGACGCTAGCTCTTTTTGTGATGAAGATTCTGAAGTTTGTAAGTTAAAAAACGTCTGGTAATTTTTGGGTGATACAGAATTCCCTGTCCTTTGACCCTGCGTTTGACTTTGAAAGGTGACCTCCAGACATCAGGACCTTTTGATGGACGCTAGCTCTTTCTGCGGTCTTTATTTTTGATGTTTTTAAGTTAAATATCAGCCGGTAATTTTTGGGTGATATGAAGTAGTTACCTGTGCTTTGAGGCCGCGTCAGACCTTTAAGGGTGACCTTGAGACGCCATGACTTTGTGACGGACGCTAGCTTTTTCTATGATGAATGTTTTGATCTTGGTAAGCTAAAAATCGGCCAGTAAATGTTTGGTGATATGGAGTTCCCCGTCCTTTGAGCTTGCGTTTGACCTTGAAGGGTGACCTTTAGAGATCAGGACTTTTTGACGGAGGCTGGCTCTTTCTGTGATGAATGTTCTGATGTCCGTAAGTTAGAAATCGGCCGGTAATTTTTGGGTGATGCGGAGCTCCCAGTTCTTTGAGCTCGTTTTTTACCTTGAAGGGTGACCTTGAGAGATCAGGACTTTTGGACGGACGCTACTTTGTTCTGTGTTGAATATTCTGACATTTGCAAGTTGAAAATCGGCCGGTAATTTTTGGGTGATATCGAGTTCTCAGTCCTTTGGCCCAACTTTTGACATTGAATGTCTCATGATATTGCAAAAAAAAGGGTCATTTTTGGTGTTGCCATGCCACAATTGACCTTGAAGCCAGTGACCAGGGAAAGCCAGTCGGTGTCCCGTCACTTTTGTCGGCTCTGGACATACGCTCCATGTATTTAGACGGGGCCGCAGCCGCGCCGGTACCTACGAGTTGTCCGGTTGTGACGTGAACCACATCGCCTGGGAGAGCCTCCCTCGAAACAAACATAATCAGATTGCAGCCACTTTTTCGGTTGACCCGGTGTTCTTCGTTTTAATGGTAAATGTCGCAGTGTGTAACTGAAACAAAAAACAATTCTACCGGTATTTTGGTTCTCCCGGTAATGAGTCAGGGGTGGATCCAGAGAGAGTGGTCACTGGGCCGTGGCCTCCTCGGGCCCCGAAAGGGCCCCATAGCTGGCCGAACAGATGCAGTTTCTTCAGACACAAAACAACAAAATTTCTCTGAACTCCCAGGCCACCAAGGACATTTGCAAGCGAAAGCGATTGGCCTAAGAGAACAGAGAAAAAATGTTCAATTTGAAAAACGTTAATGGAAAATTATAAGCCTTATTACATTGCCCAGGGTACTATGCTGTTTCAGGGGACCTATATGTCCACTTGGAAGGTCGTTTCGATCGTTAAGGAGCTTTCCACGGTAGCCTTGACTGCTTTGTATTTGCTCGGAAGGCCCCGCACTGTTGCCGTGCTGTTCCTGCTGGCGTGCCGGGGCGTTCTTGTCAATCAGAGGCCTTCTATGGATTTGTTTTCAGTCTCCAGAAACGCTTTGTGGCTATAGACGGGGAGCCATATGTTTAGCTACCCGGGTATTCTGGGTTGCTCGGGGGCCTTTACGTTGGTTTCGGTTCACCTACCGACACACTCGCGATATGCTCATGGCCCTCCACGTTGGTCTAGGGCGTTACTAATTCTGTCACTTGCTTAGGGTCCTACGTTCCTGTCGGGGCCCATCTGTTAACCTGCTTACCAAATGTATTCCTACGTGCTCTGAATGTTTTGACCTCTTCTAGCACTTAACCTTAAGGTCGTGGAGAATATCCATTGTGCAACATTAAAGTCTATGTTTTGCTCATGTTCCTTGTGTCTTTTTACTGCTCGATAAGTTGTTTAGAACCCTGTGAAGCACAGTTCGAATTATATTGTGCTAAGTAGAGGTTGCATGCGCAGATTCGCTGTACAGAATTATACTAGAGTTGGTGGGCTTGATCACAGCTCCGTTTCTAACGTTGTGCGATTGTTCCTCTGTTCTACCGTCACTGGCGTATCCAAATGTGGACCCCTTTTCTGTATGCTCCACTGTTAAGGCTGAATTGGGTAAATGAATTGGCTTACCACTACCTGACATCGGTGAACACTTGCTATGAAAAATCCAAGATATCTTTAGAAAAGCGAAACTGCGCGTACGCACAGCTTAGAACGACAAGAAGCTAAAGAACTCTCTAGTTTAATATCTTATCTCGAAGCCTAGGTGCCCGGGGTGTGATATGTGTCATATATGCATGCCTGGGTTTTAGGTGGTTTGCACGCAACGAAATGTGGTTTACGAAACCAAGTGTAAACTGTGCGAAAACATGGGAGGTACATAGTCTATGTCGGGGAGTCCATGCGCCCTTTTCGTTTGAGTTGCAATGAATACCTGCGAGATGCTCAAAACGAAACAGAGAATAAAAACGAACCTTTTCGGCGACCATCTTTTGAGAGAACACGCTGAGGCTAAAATCCAGGGAAGCATGGACTCTTTAACCCTTTTCAAGCTCAAAGTTATCTTCAAAGCACGAGATCATCCAGACAGGAGAAATGGTGAATCTATTTTGATGAGAAGTTGGCGACCAGTCTTTAAGTTCAGGAATCGTCATAAACGATGATGTGAATGTGACTAGTGTCTTGACGTGTTATGCATCCTGGCTTAAGTTCGCTGTCATGTATCGCTTGGTGGGACGCTTGATACACGATGTCTGTTTAGTTGAAGTCGTTTGCATGTAAAAGTGATGTGTGATGCGAGATGCTTATTTACTTGAAATCGCCTGCGGAAGTGAATGATGTGTTATGCGTGCTGCCTGTTAAATTGAACTCATTTGCATGCACACGTATTTTTCGTGTATTTTAATTCCCAGTTAGATGTGCACTGTATCATAAAAAAATGATCGACAATTGCTTCTTGTGTGATCCCCTGCATGTTAGTGATCTGTAAAAACTGTGGCTTGCCTCGAAAAAAAAACACTTGAAAAGTTGAATAGGATCGGCAGTCATTTTTAATTTGTTACCGATTTTCTTTTAGATAAAGGTATGTTGTCGAAATGCCACATGTATCTCTTCCTTTTCTTCTGTGCTCTTTGAGGAATAAAGCTTTAACACTGCTTCATTCATATGCATAATGTTACTCGCAAGTGCACTTTACCAGCTGCGAAGCCCTGCGATCATGTCGGTAGTGATGGCAGTATGTCGTCTACATAACAGTTTAAACGTAATGTAAGAATCCTGTCCGGTCACTAAGGCCAGTCTGGATCAAAGTCCTGCCATAACACTAAGTCAACTTAAGTTAGAGCTGCGTTGGGAGCTATGGCTAAATGCCTATCCTGTAGATGAATGGTGTGCAGGGTTGATACGTGGCTGTGTATGCAACTCCCGCAATGGAAAGAGCGTTCGTTGCAATTGTTGAAGGGCGGGGCCGCCAGCACCGTCTCGCTTGCATGGGATTGTGTCCAAGTAAACCAAACTGTTAATCAATTTAGTATAAAAAGAACCCACATCCACCTGAACAAGGGAAAACCGTTACAAACGCATTACAAAGCATAACGGCAAAATTGCGCTGCATGTTAAAATGTGATGAACGCCAGCGAACGCCAGCAAGCATGTTAATCATGGCTGCGACGCTAGAAATCCTGCTGAACTTATCACCGTTACCCAACAAGGACCGGGTTTTAAGGCGCCTATCGTAATGTGTCTGATTGCTTTAAGACGCGTTTTAATTTATGTCGACTGGATGCAACGTGCCCTGCACAGCCGCCATAGTCTGTATTCGCGCCCCTTAGCCCATGAGCGCGCGTAAAATCGCCCGTTGGTATTCAAATAAGTTTGACCGTATCAACTCCCCTCTACGCGTTACAATCAACCGTACAGTGCGCCACTGTGGGCGTGGCTCAGTGACGTGGTACTGTCACGTGGTGTGGCGCGACATCGTCGGTTGGGATGATCCTAACCCAGGCATGACCTTTTTTGTCGTTTTTCGCTTGCAATTACCACCATGGTGACCAATTGCCCCCAGATTTAACTTCGTTATGATTGCGAAACATACAGCTATCGTATAGATCAAACATGCGGCTATACGGACACTGGCAGGTGTAATGAAGGCATTTTATGATAATTGTCCCGGTTTCAAGTGTTAAGCATGTAACAAACGCAATTAGGCTTGACATAACGGTCTCTGATCAACCGGGTGCGCGGCGCACGGTACGGTCCCGGCACCAAGTGCACTGGGCGGGCACACATGACGCCGCACCCACACTCTTCACCGGAGAAGACGAGAAGAAGAAGGGAAGAGAAGAGGGCCAAAAGAAGACACGACAGAACTACCAAAAGAAACCACCGATGACGAGCTCAGAAGACAGCGACGTGGCTTGGCGCCTTTTTAAAAGGCGCCTGGAAGATAGCGAAGAGCTGTTCCAGCCACCCGCCACCGCCGTCGCCTAGCTTGCTGCTCGGGACTATCGAGTTTGGTGTGTTTGATCATTTTGTTCCTTCTCATGTGCTCTCTTACGATAGCTTATACGCGCTTTTTCTCCATGTCTTTTGTGCATCGTTTATTTATTAGCTGTTCACAAAGTGATCCATGCTTGAAAGACATTCGATTAAACCCGTGATTCAACCGATATGTTACGATAGGCAATGCCCACTTTTTCTACAGTTTTGTGTATCGTTTGTTCATTAGCTGGCTACAAGGTGATTCAAACTTCGAAGGCATTTGTTTAAGGCCGTAATTTAACCACGTTCGTGTACGGTGCCTGTTTTGTGACGTGTGCACGTAAATTGCATGCAAGTATGACTAATGTGCCGTTATGTCATGTGTTCAAGAAAGGTACTTATTGGTTGTGCGCTGCTGGCCGCTGTGTTTGGTACCTGCCTATTTCAAGAGCACGCTTATTTGCTCACAGACGGACCGGACGGGAAGAGCGTGTGATTAAAGAAGGAGAAAAAAGAACGTTTGAAGTGACGGCCCGCTGCCGCCGTCGCCCAGCCCGCCTCTGGCTGCAAACCCGCCGCACGGACTCCTGGAGTGCGGTAAGTGTATGATGATTATATCGTGTTATGTGACGGCCGTTCTGTTGACATTTCATGAGCGCTGTTCTGTATGCGTTTCTTATATCGCGTGTTTATTTAGAGATACGTAGCGATTCTGACATAAAAGGCATTCAATTGTTTTTCGCCGCAACGAGTCGCTGTTTAAGGTATAGCTGCTCGGGTACGGATATGGCTGCATCGCCAGAGCGAGATGAGGCTGGCGGCCGGCTGTCGTGTAATTGCAGTGCGTAATGCAGCCTCTGTTTGCAGATCCGTCTCCTGCTGCCGGCGCTGCTGCAAGGCCGCAGGACTGAGCACATCATGATGCCTCACATTATGACAACCCTCGCCGGTCCCCGGCTGGCCATGGGGGAGGCCAACGGCTGACTCCAGAGGCAGCAACGAGCTCACGCCATGACAGCCGGGACGCTTAAATCTGCCATCCGGTGCCTGTCTCAGTTGATTACCTATGTGGCCATCGGCAGCGACAACCTGGGCCTCGAGGCGTGGCTGCCGCGCATGCCGGTAAGTGCTCTCCACAGCTGGCGTGCCGATTGTGCCGGCTGTCGCACCACCGTCACCGTTCGCTTATGACATGCAATTCCCAGGCCATGGTGGAGCGGCTGGCAGCCTGGCAGCGGCCACTGCAGCGTGCTGACTGTGAGCGACGACGCCACTGTGCTGACTCGGCCGACAGGGGCTTGGAGAAGAGGAAAAAGAAGCAACGCAAGGAGAAGAAGCAGAAGCACCAGAAGAAGGAGAAGGCGGCGTTGACCCTTACGAGCCGCAGTCGCCCCCCCCCCCCTCCCCCCAGCTCGTCTCCGTCTTCAGACCGCCTCCCGGGCCTATGGACTGCGGTAAGTGTATCACAACTATGTCTCTTGTTTCGTGCCGCATATTCTCCGACGACAGCTTTTGCGCACCTCTTTCTGTGTGTGTTTATATATCGTGTGTTCATTAGCAGGCTACACAATGATTTAAACATTGAAGGCTTTCATTTAAGCCCGTCATCCATCCTCGCTCGTTTACGGTGCTTGCTTTTTGGTGTTTATCGTTGGAGTGCATGCCTGCCTCACTGATTTCGCGTTATGTCATGTTTTCCTGTTGTGTAGTTATCGGTTGTTCTTGGTTTGGGTATTTTGTTCTGTATTGACATGTTTGTTATGCCTGTCCATGTTCCCACAGAGCCGGCCGCCGAAGAATGGCCACCGCTGCCCAGCCTGTGTCTCCTCGACGACTACCTGCCTATGGAATATGGTAAGTATGTCTGATGATACTATTTCTTTCGATGTTTTAACTGTCTAGTAGCAGTACGTTGATTTGCTATTGTGTGTATGCTCATTGAGGTATGTATATTGTACGCTGTGGGTGCATTAGACAATTGGAAAGTTGTTAAAAAGGAACCGTTTGTTTCATGCGCCGCTGTTTTCATGTATGATAGTCATTGCCCTTAAAGTAGTTGCTCTATGTTTTCGATGTTTATTCCGCTTTCCGGTATGCGACTAGTCAGCCTTTCCTTCTGCCAAGACATCCGATGGCCAACACTTATGGCACATGTGATATATTTTTTTCATTTAAAAGGGTTACTGACCATCCATTATTGGCTGGTATGCTTTTTTTAGTTGCTTCATAAGCGTGCCTATTTGCTCACAGAGCCGGCTGCTGACGAACGGCCGCCGCCGTCCACCTGGTCGCCCCCGTGTTTGACGACTCTCCCATTGAGCACGGTAAGCGTGTTCAATGGCGTCATTACTTCAAGTTCTTCCTAGTCGTCTATTGTAGAATTTGACATGCAGTTGTTATTGTCATTATGTATGCATGTTTTAATTGTCCTAGCCGTCTATCGTAGAACTTGAGATGCAGTTGTTATTGTCATGTTTATTTCCCGTTTTTGTACGAGACTACTCAGCCCTTAATTCTGCCATCAGAGGGAGCTCTGGCCGACAGCCAGACGCCACCGGCGGCGGACGCCGACCCCGACTGGGCGCCGTCCTCGTCCCCCTCGTCGGCATCGACATCACCAGCGCCAGCGGAGAGGGAGGCCTCGGAAGCGTACGTCCGGCCTAGTACGTCACTAATTGTCCTCTCTGTATCTCACGGCGGACTGGTTGTAAATGTGCTTCTGCCGCAGCTGCCATATCCGTGTGCTTACCCGTGTCAAACGGGTGATTCTGTGTTACAGCGTGCAAGCCGCGGCAGGGCCGGCTTGCACGCAGCGGCGCTGGGAAGCGCCACAGGCACCCGTGCGCGCCTACCGCCGTGCGGCAGGCACGACGTACGCCATCCTGAAACGGCACATCAGTATGGTGCACCCCGAGGGTAGGCGACGAATTGCATGCTGTGTGTGGCTGCTTGCTTTGCCTTCACTCGTTTGTGCGTGTTTCTGCCGTCGATGCGTCAGCGCATGTCCACAGCTGTGCTGTCGGCCTTATCTTTCCAGCAGTCTGTTTGTGTTTCAGCTTGCCGCACGCGCGGTACTGCGGGCTAAACGCCCGCGATCCGCCGCGGCCCATTGCCCTCCGCCAGCGCCCAAGTGCACCCAGGCCCGCTGGCGCTGCCTGCTCGGTGCCACCGACGGGCGGCACCAGTGCCCGGCGGTTGTGGTGAATATATCACGACACGTTCGGGCCCACTTCCTGGCAGGCAGTCAAGAGGTAGGTACCAGCGCCATTGTTTCTGTCATTGCTTAGCCGCTGGTTGGACTGGAGACCACCTCGGACCAGTTCGTTACAACCCTGCGTGGTTGGCTTTTGCAACCGGAAGAAGGTGCAGCGGCACATGCGCGCGGCAAGTGCCACCGATGCCGGTCTGCTTCCCATCTGCTCGCTGTCATCTGTGGTCACTCATGTTTCGCGTGTTATCTTGTGTCATTTTCGTCCGCCTTGTCCGTCCCATGCAGCGGGGCTCAGAATTGTGCTGGCGGCGTGCTGTCACATAATTGCAGTGCCTAATGCAGGTTCATTTGCAGCTCCGTCTCTTGCTGCCACAGCTGCTGCCAGGCGGCCGTGCGGAGCAGCTAATGATGTCTCACATCATGGCGGCCCTCGTCGGCCCCCAGCTGGCCATGGAGGGGCCCGACGGCTGGCTGCAAAGACGGCACAGAGCGCACATGATGACAGCCGGGGTATTTAAATCGGCCATCCGCTGCCTGTCCCAGTTGATCACGTACGTCACACTCGACTGTGACAACTCAGGCCTCCTGGCGTGGCTGCCGCGCATGCCGGTAAGTGCCATCAACAGCTGGCGTACCGACTGTGCAGTCCTACGCGCCACCGTCACCGTTCGCTAATGGCCGATGACTCACTGTTGCGCGCCATTCGTTTTGCGTCGACTGTTCTCCTGTCTGTCGTGTCTGTTGTCGGAGTGATGGTTTGAACGAACCACTATGTGTGTAGACACCTGTAGACTGTCGACCTCGATGGCCAAGAGCGTGGCCTCATCAAGAATTACAGATTCAGGACATCGGCCACCTCGACGCTTAAGACGGCTGTCAGCAGCAAGCTGTGGCTGCGGCTGCTCCACTTCACATCAGTGGAGCGGCCGGCGCTGCTCACACCGGACGCCACCAGCAGCGACCGGGTATGCACAAAGACTGTTCGGCAGGCGCCGGACCGATTAGTGTTGTCAGGGTCAACCACGTGCGTGTTGCACCCTCACCAGCGTGGTTCAACTATAAGTGTCTCTTTCCACAGGTCTTCATGGCCAGTTCTCGACGAGTTCCCTGTCCTCTACTTTTAGGACAGCAGACATAGGTTCTCGACGAATTCCTTGTCCGTTACTTCCGTGACAGCAGACACAGTTCCTCGACGAGTTCCCTGTCGGTTACTTTTACGACAGCAGACATAGATTCTCGACGAGATCCGTCGTCACTCGGCAAATTAGTGAAAAATTCCTCCTCATAGGGTGTTGCTTTACATCTAAGGTCGGCAATTCTAGGACGCTGCTCGTCACTCTTACGCTGCAGCTGACTGACGTTGGTGTTGAGACGGACGCCGGGCTTGTGCTGGTCTTGTTGGCCTCTGGACTGAGTGACTGCAGAGGAACACCAGTTCGCTTCGTTGTTCACCTGGTGCTCGCTGCTCTGCCGCATGACGTTGAACCGAGGCGCGCTTGGAAAGTCTCAGTGTCGCCTTCTTGTCAGCGCCAGCGCCACTTACTGAAACTGGCTGTTCACCGACCACGAGTAATGACTGGGGACTCCCCGGCCTAGAGAATTGGCCCCGGCCACTTCTCGCTCTAGGACTTCTCGCCCTTGCTCCTATCGGCGTGCTATTCGGTATCGCTCATCTTTGTCTCAACTTCGTTCCGTACTTTTTCATTAAAGCGACTGGCCTCTTGCCGTAGGGGGACATTATTGTATATAAGACATTATTAAACAATTCGTCAAATGAGGTTTTTTACCAGGTGGAACTATTTCCGCGTAAAATGCTGGGGAAACTGAGAACGGGCGGTTTGAAAAAAGCAATGATCTTTTCAGCCTAATATGCCAGCAGCGCTCATGTCAGCGTGTGGCCTCAACTTGGCTCGCTGTGCTGGGGCCGACCATAGCGGCAGTGGCTGCTTAGGTAGGGACTGCTCGGACAGCTCAGCCTCCTAGGGCCGTTGGGTGCTTGCGGACGTTGGTCGTCATTACTGCCAGCGCGCTTTGTTCGCATTTCTCCAGCGATACACCAGTGAGCTCGCGAGTTCACTATTATATCTATACATTGGGCAGTGATCGCATGCTTCGTCGCATAGAACGAAGATACTGGGTTTGGGGAGTATTCGTCTCCTTCGTGCGGCGTGAAGTGTAACAGAGTTCAGTTGTTAAGAAATAGACAGCTTGAGGAGGATCTATGTGTAATGTCTGTGGCCAATTCCGATCGTTTGAAGGCAGCACGATGTAAGCCCGAACGGCACATATTTTGTGGCTTTGGAATTCTGGCCAAAAGACAATATTCAAGGCGGCACGAGCACGAGCCACATTGACGTGGCTTGTTAAGTCCTTGATGTAGCTAAGCGTGCCAGTGCAGCGGTTATTTTCACACACGTGATCCGACGTGACTGATCGGGGGCCACATGTAACGATGTCGTTTATTGATGGCTAAGTAAGTTCACGTACAGTTCAAGACATGTACAGTTTCGTAATCTACAGTATTGTGTCATGTTTTGTGATTGATATTACAGCACGGTTCGATCCCTTTGATGTTGTTTGGTCTGTTAGAGAGAATGGAGAGGTTTGGTGGTAAGGGAAATAGTGAAGGTGGGCTCTTCAACTCACAGTTGCCAGACCCCTAACATCTGCATCCTTGGGATTACGTTTATTACGGTCACGAAATGAAAATTGCTCTATTTTCTTTCGAAGTCGCAACGCCTGTTGGTGATTTAATCTCCACCAATGTAAAGTGATGTTATTGGGCTGCACAAAGCATTTCACTGACGGGCGTGGTTGGTAACTTCCCTGTCAGGTGATGTGGGAGTCCACAAATCATTGTGACATAGTGGACAAAGGTCTGCGATGCACGGGACATCTTCTCGGTAATACCTTAAAGGCTATTAGTGCAGCGGCGTCCAAGCTGAACGTCACGGATCAGTGGATAACCTCACGTAAGCTGGGGGCGTGATGGCGTGCATAGACCCGGAGCCGGTCAGGCCGCTGTCCCGCCCCGCTCTGTCACTTGCCGGGGGCCGGCGGGACAGCTTGGTCTCCTCCCAGCTCTGGTGGCCGGTCAGGCCGCTGTCCCGCCCCGCTATGCCACTTGCCGGGGGCCGGCGGGACAGCTGGTCTCCCAGCTCTGGTGGCCGGTCAGGCCGCTGTCCCGCCCCGCTCTGCCACTTGCCGGTGGCCGGCGGGACAGCTAGTCTCCCAGCTCTGGCGGCCGGTCCGGTTAGGCCGTGACAAAGCGGCATGAGTGTGGTTATTACAGCATAGCAAAAGAAGCAAGAAGAAGAACGTTTATGTTACGAACATTGTATCACGTTTCTCTTCTTCCGTTATGGAGAAATCTGGATGCGTCTATGTCTGTACGGGATGCTCCCTATTCATGTATACTCTGTGGGCGTCATGTTCATTCACAGCGGGCAGTGGCATTGTGACTGACAGTTATAACATACCCTAAAAAATATCCCTTTTCACCGCTCTAATAGGCACCATGACTGCCTATATCCAAAGTTTTGGCTTATATCTGTTTTCTGATAGCAAAGAAACGATCATCTCATTTGCTCCGCATACACCCAATAAAGATCTGCTTTGGCAAATTATGTTGCCATGTCCTGTGGCTTGGCCTGCCTGCGGCCATACATATCTAGTTTTTACATGTTTTGCCGAGCTTCCTGACATGATAATGTCCTTTTTAGGTTTTTTTCTCATGTGGGTTATACTCATTGAAAGCAATGTCGTGTTGTTCTGTTGCAGGCGATGCGTGGTTACTGCGACAGCGGCCGCCTGTGGTTGGCCGCTTACAGCGCAGGGGCTGATGGGGCGGCGAGATCCACCAGCCGGCTGGGAAACAGGCCAGGTCAGCTGGGACCGGCTGGGACAGCGGCCCGGTGGTCGGGCTCCGGTGGCCGAGTGGCCATGCTGGGTTGCGGCCGGGTCGGGGCTCGACTCCCCGCGGTGCCCGTCCGATCTCGGTCGGGTTGGCTGTGAGCACCCCTGATAGCAGCGGACGGAAGGCTAGGCATGGGAGCCCGGCCGGCTGTATGGCCGTCAGTGGCGGG